TATTCACAGTCTCGCGGAAAATAATTCACCTTCTCGCTGGGCTCCAGCGTATGATGCCTCGGCATTTGATGTATACGGATACCTCCGGGCGTCTTTATCCACGCGGGTGCCCTTGTCAAATGGTGAAAACAATTCGCATTATATTATGTTTATTACCAAGGTAGAGTTGAGTGATGTAGGTGATGAGAATAAAAAAAAATATTACGTTTTTTTATAATGCGCTATTGAGATCAGTTTCAATGAATAGAAATTAATATTTAATAATTAGAATTTCGTCATTGAAAATTTAGAATTTGATGAAAAAAATCAATGGAAACTATGAGATTCATTTCAATTATTCTGTAAAAATTTATTGAAAATGAGATTAAATTAAAATTAAATAAAAAATTACGAAAAACTAAAAAATAGTAGAATCTCTCTGTTATAAAAATCCAAATCGACTTGCGGTGATGAAAATTTGGTAATCAAAATTAAAGCTCAAATAAGGGCTATAAAGGTCAGATTAAGGGTCACAAGGTTCAGATTAAGGTTCACAAGGGTCGTATAACGGATTCAAATAAGGGTCATGAGGGACGTGGGGGCGAACAACCAAGTGTCAGAAACTAAAGGTTGCCAGGGTCAAAATAAGGGTCATGAGGGTTATAATGAGGGTCACATTAAGGATCTAAATAAGGGTAACAAGGGTCGGATTAAGGATTGTAAAGGTCAGAATAAGGGGTACAGCAGATGGAATAAGGGTCCAAATGAGGGTCATAAGGGCCGGATTAAGGGTTCAAATAAGGGTCGCAAGGGTCTGGTTAAGGGGCGTGGGGGTCAAAAACCAAGTGTCAGAAACTAAAGGTCGCCAGGGTCAAAATAAGGGTCATGAGGGTTATAATGAGGGTCACATTAAGGATCTAAATAAGGGTAACAAGGGTCAGATTAAGGATTCTAAGGGTCAGAATAAGGGGCACAGCAGATGGAATAAGGGTCAACATGCGGGCCATAAGGGCCGGATTAAGGGTTCAAATAAGGGTCGCAAGGGTCTGGTTAAGGGGCGTGGGGGTCAAAAACCAAGTGTCAGAAACTAAAGGTCGCCAAAATAAGGGTTATGAGGGTTATAATGAGGGTCACATTAAGGATCTAAATAAGGGTAACAAGGGTCAGATTAAGGATTGTAAAGGTCAGAAATGAAGAGTCAGTAACTACAGTTCGCAAGGGTCAAAATAATAGTCACACAGGTTATAAGTGTCAGAATAAGGGCCACGAGGGTCAGATGAAGGGTCGCAAGGGTCTGAATAAGGGTCATGGGGTAACGTAGCCCCCTAGTTGTCAATAAAAGTTCAATAGAAATCCAATAGAGTTGTCTATCGAATTCGCTTCGTTTTTCTACGAAATTTTTTCTGCGTTACGCAGTAACTTGTTAACAAGAATCTCAACGACTAAGTACAACACGTTCATCCGCCCACTGCCCCTTGGAATTTATTGACACTTCACGTTAACTACTTTGGCCTGCACACGAAGGGGTAAATATTGGAATTAATTTGCGGATTACAACCCAAGGAGGCATTAACGTGTGATATACATTAATGGTAAAACGTTGGTTGTGTAATATCACGGTGCTATCGTAAAAGAGCCCCGTACGAACCCCGATGCCTGAATTTTATGGATTATATCGGCTTTTGTGATATATCGAGCGAGCGTTTATATTCACGCGCAGGAATAAGGGAGCTTTTGGTACCTATCCGTCTCGCCGAAATGATAAGGGTTGTGTTGTGAGATGTTATTGGTGTTCATGGAATGTTCTTCATTCAGATCATATTAAACGTGGGAATTCTTGCGAGCGTTTGATGCAGAGTATTTTTTAATCAAGAAGATTTTTTCTCGAATACGGATTTATCAATTTTTTTTCGTCGAAGGCAATATTTTTTCAGTAAATTTAGAGAATTTTTTAATGAAGTTTAAGATTTATTATGGAATTTGATGAGAAATATTTTAATGAACTTCAATGGAGGATGAGAAATTGAATTATCGAGTTGAGAATATTCTTATTCAGTGGAGAAAGTAAAAAAATAAAGAAATCAGAACTAGTCTATATTTATTAAACTAAATTATTAACAATTTTTGGTAATAAATTCCATCATTTCTAAAAAAAAATTATTAAGTCACAGTTCTACCAAAATTTCTAAGAATTTCGCAGTTAAAAATTCACATTTCTTTAAAAAAATGAATTAAACCCATAAATTTGTTCTCAATTTTTTCCAAAAAAAGGAATGGAAATGAAAAATTCAGATAATAAATTGAAAATTCCACACAATTTATGTCCTCAATATTTCTAATTTGATTGAAAGTCGAAATAAGTTGCAGAATTTCAAAAACAAAAATTATAATTTTTCTCGAATTCCCCTTGAAATTTGAAATTTCCCGATTTTCTCCTCCTAAATTGAATTCAATAAAAAAATTATTGATAAAAATTATGAATTCCCGTTCAACTATTTCAAGAAAATTCATTGAAGTTAAAAATTCAGATGATAAATTGAAAATTCAACGTAATTTGTCTCTCAATATTTCTAATTTGATTGAAAATTGAAATAATCGCAGAATTCCGTCTTCCGCTGCCCAAAAATAATAATTTTCCCTGAATTTCCCCTGAAACCAGAAATTTCCCGATTTTTTCTCCCTAAATTGACTACAATGTCACCCTCCTAAAAATAACTGATGAACTGTCCCTCAAATTTCAATTTTTTTCTAATACTGTGCCTCAAAATCCTAATGACACAACCCGTCGAGCGTCGAATCTTCGTGACCCAGCATCACCCGAGCTTAACGACGGAAAATTCGCCACGTGATAAGTCACCAAGAGCCCTCTCGCTGGAAAGAGTGAATAAAAAATGCACAACATCAAGGGAAAAACCCGTCAAGTGAATGCTCCCTATGTGTGGTCAGACACAGGGTTGAGCGATCGAAGACGTCAGACGGGGGAGTGAGAACTCACGTTCATACGTATCAATTGTATTTTCCATTTTAGCTTTCATTTTCCTTTTCTCCAACAGCTCCGACAAATCGATTCAATTCCTTTGCAAGAATAGAATGCTTGTGGCATCCGATTCCAGAACCGGTAACTCCCGGGGCTTTATCATTCCATTTCACTTCAGGCGAGACATGTTCCTGAATTTTTCAGCGACTCGCGGGTGTAAATTTGAATACACGACCAATTTACCCCGATATTTTTATCTTAATAAAAATAAAATAAGAGAGAAAAAATTAGAGGAGAGAAAAATCATAGAATTTGAGGTTTTACTGAAAATTCAATGAAATTCCAAATTTTTTAACAGCATTGACATGAGAATTCCTCGAGCTATTTGAATTCAATAAAAAGTTTAATGAGAAATGCAATGAATTTTCAATTAATTCAGTAACAAAGTGGAAAAAGGGTTTAAGTCGATTTTGGCTATTGGCCAGTTTTCAATGAATATCTCGAGATCTAAGGGAGATAGCAAAATTTTTCTAATAACCTTTTTTGTAGCGCGAACTGAGAGCTATAAAAAAGGTTACTACGAAAATTTCGTTATCTTCTTTAGATTCGGAGGTATTCCTCGAAAATTCAGCTGAGGCCTAAATCGACTTGAGCCGTTTTACCGCTTCGCCACTGAATTGAGATTCGAGAATATATTTACCGGAATTTATGTGATTTCTAGTAATGTTCAAGGAGTAATTGACCTGAAATTTACAGTTCTCATTGGTTTTTCCATAAAATTCTGGCGTCTTATGTCTAGCGATAAATTAAACGTAAAAAAAATGTCTTAAAAATGTCTTTACAAAATTGACTTGAGAACAAATTCTAAAAAAAAATGTCTTAAATTCGTCGACTTGTCTTCAGAGACATAACAAAAATGTTCATCTAGGAAACGCCTGATTTTAAGGCATTAAAAATTCCAGTCATCACAAAGTCCGTCGATAAAACACATTTTTATGTCTGACGTCTTAAATTAAGACGTCTTGAAGACACTGGTTTGCCCAGTGCCGGACGGTTAGACGTCTGGCGATTAATTATCCGTAAGAAGTCGGTCGGCTATGGCCAGAAGGAATTCGCTACACTGGCTTGTCTGGTTTTATGAGGAAGAGCGTCATGTCGCTGCGGAAAGGAAGTTCTTAACAAAGTGTCCGGGATCGATCAATAGATTCACCTCGAATGACACGGGTCACAGGAAAATTGACTCCAGTTCTTGCTGCAGTTTGCATTATCAAAGTTCTCCGTGAGCTGACGTTCATGTGGCGAGGGGATTATTAATGGAGGATGTCAGTGAGGAATTAATCCCCTGATGTATTCAGTCAGAATTTTCTGAATTCGATACTCGATTCACATGCGAAAGCTTCCGAGTTCAAATCCTGGCAATTTCAGCAACTCGAGGTATTTAAGATCATTTATGGATTCGTAGAATAAATTAACAAGTGAATAGAAGTCCGGCGAAAAATACATTTATTTAGTTTTCTCTCAATTTAGAAACCAGAAACTACCAGCTGTTTTCTTTCTTTTAAATATTTTTCTCACGGACTCGGAAAATTATTCTTCCATGGTTGGAAAGTGCAGCTGCACAAAATAAATTATCTAGAGTACACGATTTTCAAGTAAATTTCCAGGAACTCACCTTCCAGGGACCCCCCAACACGTGTCAGGGGGCACGTGGGTACCCCCATCTGGAATTTGAACTGATAAATAAATCCGAAATAATATTTTCGACTTTGAACAATTTTTCTCAAGAATGTTTTTCAATTAAAGTTATCAATTAATCAAATTGAGAATCAGTTTAAAATTCTCAATTGAGAGAATCACCTCTTGACATAACAGAGAATTGTAAAATCAGTCAAGAGTAACCTTGAAGTCCAGTGGGATTTCAGTTTTATACAAAACAGTCTCGTGTTGTAATACAAACGGCGGGATAGGTCACAAATGGGAATAAATAAAAGCATAAAATTCAAGATGATTCGATCCATCAAATCATTCCGAATAGTTCAAACAATTTATTTGTGTCAACGAAATCGTCGATTTATTCCAGTTACACATATTTTCCTTCATCTCAGGTGCAAGTTACATACAAATATAGCCCTCCCCCTTATTTACATGTGATTAATCTGTACATTTCACTACCATTTATCCATCATCTCAACACTTCGTCCACTTAAAATTCTCAAAAAGACATTTTATTCATCTGTACAACTTTCTTCATTAATCTGGGTTTTAAATTCGAATGACAATCTCTTTTATCACAACAATTGTTTTCTAAAACTTCATCTATAAATGAATGACCTTTGGTTGAACCATTACCCGTGATGATTTTCATTAATATTTAACCATGTTTCCAATTTAAAGTTGACCACATTATGCCCAAAAAGAGAATAAAATTCTTTGTACTCTACTTATCACGGAGACATCAAAGAGATTGGCAAAGAGAGTTTCATCAATTCTGAATGTTTCTGACTTTCTTCTACAGCAAAATGTTCATCAAGCAATTCGTAATTGAAAAATTGAATTACTTTCACTATTTTCTTTTCCTCTGGCCATTTGGAAGGATGAAGTAGCTTCATATGTTTCAGGCAGGTGCGACCGATCCAGCGGGGAGCTTATTAATCTATCGTTCATCGATCAGGATCACTAATTATTTCAGTCGTTTAATCCTTACATGGGTTGTACTTGGACCAATTGGTACTTTCGGTGATACTAAAACTATCCATCGAATTCGTGCATCTGAGAGGGTTGCCAGCCTAGTTTCAATAATGACCTGGAAATTAATGAGACTGATTAATCAATGAAATTACGAATGGATTTGACGACATCTCTCTGATGAGGCTGATTATGAATATCTTGAAGTGGGTGAATATCTTCGAAAGGAAATGGCGAAATTTTTCGTTTATTTCGTTGTGGCCACATAAATTTAATGAATATCTTAATGAACAATTTCGGTGAAAGCTTTCGGTTCCTTTGAGGTTTCCTATTCTTTTTTAACGCTTGTTCTAAAGATTTGTTAAATAAAACAGCTGAATCGGTCGAGACGTCGGCCATTCATGAATGGAGTCTGAAATTTGTCTTTGTTTATCCTCTACAGACCGCAGGATCGACAAACTTCTTTCTTCGCTCTTCAAAAATTTCGTCTTCATCAGATTTTAAGCTTTTTGCTTGTGAATGGAAGCATTGTATTCGTCAAATTGGAAATTTCGTATTTTTTGTAAACAATTTTTGGCCTCGGGCTGCCAACATTGGCCCAACATTCAAATTGAGAGACGAAATTTTGTAACGTTAGGCAAATAAACTTGAGGAAGGTAAAATTTCTAACGGTAGGGCAATAAAGTTCAGGAAATTCGAAAATTTTATAGTTGAGCCAATGTTGGGCCAATGCTGGCTGTCAAGATTGTCCCAATTATAAAATTAGGAGAGGTAAAATTTTTCAACGGTAAGCCAATAAACTTAAGAAAGGTACAAAAAGTTCGGCCAATACTGGCTGCCAACATTGGGCCAACGTTGAGATTGAGAAAGTTGAAAAAATTAAATCTAGGGGATCAAAGTTGAGAAAAGTAAAAAAAATAACATTGGGCCAATAAAGTTGAGAACGGTTGGTTGGCTTAATGTTGGCTGCCAACATTGGGCCAACGTTGAAGTTGAGGAAGGTAAAAAACTTTTAAAATTAGGCTAATAAATTTGAGAAAGGTTAAAAATGTCAACGGTGGGCCAATGTCGGCTGTCAACATTGGGCCAATGTCGGCTGCCAACGTTGGGCCAATGTTGGCAGCCAAGATTGCCCCAACATTAAAATTGAAAAAGGTAAAAAAAATCAACCTCAAGCCAATAAAGTTGAGAAAACCAAAGAATGGCAATGTTGGGCCAATGTTGGCTGCAATGCATGAATCATAAAATTCAAAATAAATCATCATAGAAATTCCATTCGGAAGCAAATGCCTACTTCATCATAAAAAATATATTGACAACATTGTTCCAAAGCTCACAGATATTCCCCAAAAACCTTTCCCCCGTCTACTATCGAAATAATCAACAAAAATTCACGTTTTTGCAGCAGTCATAAATCCTTTGGGTCCGCACGTGAAGACACAGGCCTGCTTGTTACACTCCCCAATAACTTCTTTAATTAAATCCTCCGAGACGATTCCACGTCTGCCACCCCAATTTTCATCGGCCTGCGAGAGTACGTGGACAACATTTAATCTAGAAGGGAGATCAAAAGTGAATTATCTCCGCCCAAGTCGTCTTCCCAACGACAAAAAAAAATTTTCCTCACCTGTTATCAGAGCAAACTCTGTCCAACTGCTCTCGATAGAAAATACTCTTCTCATTTCTGTTGAAGTTAACGAGATTTATTGAACTCCTGTGGAAAACAATTATCATTACCACATTATTTTTACCTCCATTCACTGAATGCTGAATGATGATTCAATTCTCAATAACGAGCTCCACTTACACATTGCGTCGGCATAGTGACCGATGAATAATACCTAGCATTGGTGTTAATCCGGTGCCTGCGGCAAGCATATGAATGGCGGTGTAGTCGTCAAAGGATTCAGCCACAAAGGTACCCAGGCTATTACTCAAACTCAGGCATTGCCCTTGCTGCAGAGCTGTTATGGACGGAGTAAGGGCGCCATCGTCGTAACGTTTTATCATGAGACACAGGCTGTTTGGTTTGTAACCAGGTGCCTCGTGATCAGGATGGAGTGAAGGTGGTACCGGTGTGTAAGACCTTGAGATATCCATACCTAATGTTTTCGTGAAGCTTTGGTGAGCGAGAATGTTTTCAATCTATTGGGAAATCAGGCACGAAAAAATTTCACGGAAAAACCTGGCGATATTCTGGTTGATTTCTATTCAACTTTCTGGTGGAAATCGTCGATGGAAAATATTCTATAGGAAAAATCAATAGAACTTGATTTTTTTGGAGAAGTTATTTTATTGAGATATTTTCTATGGAAATTCTTCTATCTTACTCCGTCAAACCTTAAATGTCTTGAGGTATAAATGACATTGAAAGCAGAAACAGAAATTCAATAGAATTTCCTACGGAATTCGCCAGGTTTATCAATGAAATTATCTCGTCCCTGAAAACGACACTAAGAGTTACCTAGCACACTCATCTTGGCCTCTATATGTCTACCGACTGGCGTTACTTCCATGTAGTCGCTACATCTTAAAACTAACAGATTAACGGAATCACACAGTGATGTGTTACTAACGACTTCCCAATCCCTGTAACATCTATCATTTTTCGTGTCAATAGCGACTGTTCTGGTTCCGTACGAGTTCCAAAGTTTTCCAGTTGTCTTTGTGAAGGTGAATTCCACCTCCATTGACTCGTAATTTCGACGCCATGTGGGCGGCCACTGGACCCCCTCGTCTAGGTCGTACTCGTGGCGAATGGAGGCGCTTGAAAATTGAGTTTTTAGGGTGAATTCGGTGGAACTCTGACGGGTCAGTTGGAAGTTGGGAGACTGTTGGTCTCGCGATGGCTTGTAGACGAAGGTCACTGTGTTGGTCGTTTGCTTCCAGTCGCTTTGGAGGGTTTGAGGGGTTGTCGAGGTCTTTCTGTCGGTTCCTGATGTTTTCGCTGGGGAAATTGAGAGATTCGAATGTACTTAATTCAACTCTCAGCTGAGTTTTCGAGGAATATCTCCGAATCTAAGGGGGATAGCGAAATTTTCCTAATAACCTTTTTTGTAGAGCGGATTAAGATCTACAGAAAAGGTTATTATGAAAACTTCGCTATCTGGCTTAGATTCCGAGATATTCATTGAAAACTATAAGGTAAAAGGATTCAAGTCGACTTGGCCCTTGGCTGAGTTTTTAAGAAATATCTCCGAATCTAAGGGAGATAGCGAAATTTTCGTAATAACCTTTTTTGTAGGCCGAATTAAGATCTACAGAAAAGGTTATTACGAAAATTTTGCTATCTGCCTTAGATCCCGAGATATTCATCGAAAACTGACCAATAGTCAAAATCGACTTGAACCGTTCTACCACGTCGTTTCTGAATTGTTAATTCTGTCGTGAAATCTTCAAAGGAATCCTTAATTGAGGTTTTTTTATGGAGATGCCTCTCAAAAAGGTCAAGTTGACCCCTTTCCCTTTACCAATTCCCAACTTTAGTAACTCGGAATATGAAATTAATTCCAAAAAAACTGGAGATCATCTCCAAGTGCCTTTTGTGCCGAAAATTCCTGAAACCACATGGTTAAACAAGAAAAAAGGGACTTTGTAGCTCACCTCCAGCAGCAAGTGGCGACAATTTCGTAATTTTATCATTTCCAAAAGGACTGGTAGGCCCCTCAACTCCATTTCCCCTAATTAACCTTCCCACCACACACTTCTGCAGAATACTCTGGTAATTAACCCACGCGTGCACCTGGAATGAACGATCTACGGATACAAGAGTTCACATTTACCCTCTGATTAATCCACTTGGCGACTTTCAAACCTCAGTTGTTGTGACGAACTTACGTCTTCAAACAGTTTAGTCGCATCTTTACCCACCCCCTTCATCAACTCTGGCACACCACCAGGATGAAAGTCCATGTACCGCGTCACATTGAAGACAATGCCTGGAATAACAAAACATTGTTTTCATAAGTTTGGCAGATTGTCAGCAGTTGCCACACGAGTCTGTCATTCTAATTCATGCAAACCTCGGATAGCAATCCAGGCGTCATTTCTCTGATTGTGTTTCGCTAGTTCTGTGAGTGTTATGGCCTGGTTAACGCCCCCAACTCCGGTGAGATCAACTCCCGATGAGCCCAGGCGAATCCAGTCCATCAGACTGTGGCCGGGTGCCAGGGCCGTTTTGTTTCTCGGATTTCCTGGGGAGAAAGAGGGGATGAGCGTGGAGGAAATGGTCATCAGACGCTGAATTTATGAAACAAGTGGACAGTTGCATTTTTTATAAATGCGAATGGGTTCTCTTTTTTTTATTCTTATTTCACTAGTCTCTTCTTCTATTCTTTCATGTCATAGTACTATCAAGTGAAGTGTCATCAAAATTTTGGGTATTATTTCGTTTTGTCAGATGATTCTACATTCAGACCCTCTCGAGACTCGAATTCATTTTCAGTCCGGGTTTAATCGAGGTTCAAGCAAGGTTTCATCAGTGTACAGCCGGGATTTAATCAGGGTTTATTCAGGATTTAGCCAGAGTTTAACCCAGGTTCTGTCAGAAGTTAGTCGGGACCATGAATCAATATGAATAAGTATTCAACATAATAACTATTACTGATGATTCTTCCAGTAATCATGAAATAACCGATTTTCTCTTTCAAATCGCATAAACAATGTGCTGTAACTCAACAACAAACTGTCCGACCCCCATCATATTCTGATAAAATCAAGAGGGTATTGTTATCAATTTTTTGAGCCATGACTAATTCAATAGCGAAGCGGTAAACCGGGTCAAGTCGATTTTGACTATTGGCCAGTTTTTGACGAATATCTGGGAATCTAAAAGAGATAGAAAATTTTTTGTCATGACCTTTTTTGTAGAGCCAACTGAGGGTTATAAAAAAGGTGATGAGCAAAATTTTGCTATCTCTCTTAGATTCCGAGATATTTGTCAAAAAATGGCCAAAAGTCAAAATCGACTTAACCCGGTTTACCGCTTCGCTACTGAATTNTGGCCAAAAGTCAAAATCGACTTGACCCGGTTTACCGCTTCGCTACTGAATTGCATTTTGATAACTATTTTGTGAGTGATCGTTGAAAAATCGAACTACTAAATTCAACTACTACAACAACTTTTCATTCCGGCGCACTTTCTGCACGTTTGGCACAAAAAATCCTTTTTTGATAATTTTCAAAAAAATATTTTCTTGGCACAAGTAAGAGTTGTTTGAGAAGTTGTCGTTTTTCTCTCGGTGCAGAGTACCGGGAGCTCGAACCATTCAGCGAAATTAACTCGAGCGCAAGAGACCGAGGAGCCACATCCGGAGTAACTCCGCTAATGAGTACGTTTTAACCAGTATTTTACGAACCATCCTGGATGTGGAGTCCGATACTCTGCGGTGATCCATCGCCGTCCATTACGGAGATCGGCGATGCCCCGCAGCAACGAGGCATCGTCAGGTGATGATTATCATCATCTCATCGCAATTCTCTCCCCGAACCCTAGCGCAATGTTTTTAGCGTTTCGTAATGCGACGCGTGGGAGGAGGGGACAGCGGAGTCCGCAACGATTCATCGGAATATCCGCACGGAGAGAAATATTCAGTAAAAATTACGTATCTTTTCCGTAATTCCGGAGCGAAATGCGATTGTAGGAAATTTTACGGAACTGTCACGGAATTTTTCCGCAGCGTTCCGTAATTTTCGTCTGAATCTCCTGCGAATAATTACGATACCGTCACTATAAATTTTCTGAGTCGATTCCGCAATCGGTGAGCGAATTGTGAGTTCCGTAATTTTTACTGAACGCTTCTCTCCGTGCGCGCATGTGAAATTCCGCGCGTGAAAATTTTCATTCTCTTCGTTTTGTCTGCAGTATTTGGAGAACACACACAGACGATTCTATTGTTCGAATTTACCCGGCATCGCGCGATAATGAAGCCAATGGTACATATAGATACGGAAAACTTCAGTCATGATTCAACAAAAGGGACGGGAATTTTTGGGGAATCGAGAGCGGCTGGGGTTTTAAAATGGGACGAGTCAATTTTGGATTTTTTTATGTTTCAGAGTTCATGAGATATTGTGAAATTTTTAGGAGGATTTTTTATGTAATTGGCGACATTCACGAGAGAATTTTTTCAATGTTTTTCTCTTGTTTTTTTTCAATATTTTTCAATGATTTAATTCTCAGTGAAACTTATTTGAAATTCTGTTCTGGGTAGAGGGAAAAATTATCTGTTAAAAATTATTGTTAAAATTATAGATGAATGTTATAATACTATGAGTTTTTTCCTGTGAATATCCAGAAGTTCTTAAGAAATGATGAAATGCTTTTGAAGAATTTTTTTACAAAATCTGCAAAAAAGTTCCTTTACGAAAATTTTGGCATTTCTCTTGAATTTTTTAATATTTAAGTTACTGTTTTACCACTTCACAACTGAATTAGAGATCAAAAGTGTTCGGATAAACTTGATGATGAAATTAAATTGCAAATTGAATAAAAAGTGGAATTAACAGTTGAATTCATGAATAAATTCCAGCAAATGGCTCTCTCAGACAATATCTTTAAATTAGTAAAAAATAAAATTCCTATGGAATTGTTTTTTAGAGACCAGAGTGAGACACAAAATCTCCTCTCAAAATTTTTTTTATTTCTCTTAAAATTTCAGATATTCCCCAAAAATTAATCTGTTAAGAAAACATCCTATTTTACCACTTCACGACTGAATTTTTAATTAAAGTAAAAATTGAAAATATAATTTTAAAAAACAACAATGGATTTAAAAGTTGAGTTGATGAATAAATCCTAGTATATCTAAAATATCTTTAAATAAAAAAATCCTATGAACTTCTTTTTTATAGACCAGATTGAGGCACAAAAAAAATTCACAAAACTTTTTCTATCCCTCTTAGACTTCCAGATCTTCCCCAAAAACAAATCTTTTAACAAAAAAACATCTTGTTTTACCACTCCTCAACTTGAGGCACAAAGTGTTCAAACAAAATTAATTTTGAAATCAACCTAAAAATTAAAAACAATCAAATAAAATAACAATGGATACAAAAGCTGAATTAACGAATAAATCCCAGCCTATACCAAATATCTTCAAATAAGCAAAATAAATTCCTACGAAAATCTCTTTTATCTACCAAAGTAAAACCCCAAAAAATCTCTTCACAAAAATTTCCCTATCCCTCTTCGATTTCCCGATATTCCGCAAAACTAATCTGTTAAAAAAATCCTCTTACCGCTTCATGACTGAATTTAAAGCACAAAGTATTCTTATAAAATGACTCTTGAAAGTGAATAAAAAATCAAAAACACAATTAAATGAAATAACAATGGATACAAAAGCTGAATTAACGAATAAATCCCAGCCTATCTAAAAAATCTTCAAGTAAGCAATTCCTACGAAAATCTTTTTTATCTACCAAAGTAAAACCCCAAAAAATCTCTTCACAAAAATTTCCCTATCCCTCTTCGATTTCCCGATATTCCGCAAAACTCATCTGTTAAAAAAATCCTCTTTTACCGCTTCATGACTGAATTTAAAGCACAAAGTATTCGAATAAAATGACTCTTGAAAGTGAATTAAAAATCAAAAACACAATTAAATGAAATAACAATGGATACAAAAGCTGAATTAACGAATAAATCCCAGCCTATCCCAAATATCTTCAAATAAGCAAAATAAATTCCTACGAAAATCTCTTTTATCTACCAAAGTAAAACCCCAAAAAATCTCTTCACAAAAATTTTCCTATCCCTCTTCGATTTCCCGATATTCCGCAAAACTAATCTGTTAAAAAAATCCTCTTTTACCGCTTCATGACTGAATTTAAAGCACAAAGTATTCGAATAAAATGACTCTTGAAAGTGAATTAAAAATCAAAAACACAATTAAATGAAATAACAATGGATACAAAAGTGGAATTGACGAATAAATCCCAGCCTATCTAAAAAATCTTCAAGTAAGCAATTCCTACGAAAATCTTTTTTATCTACCAAAGTAAAACCCCAAAAAATCCTTTCACAGAAATTTCCCTATCCCTCTTCGATTTCCCGATATTCCGCAAAACTAATCTGTTAAAAAAACCGTTTTACCACTTCACAACTGAATTTACAGCAAAAGTGTTGGGACAAAATTGACGTAAAAAAGGGTATTTGATGAAACAATGTTTACACGGGCACTTCCGCTCGTGAGAATTGGTGAGTGTACTGTGTGGCACTGGGTCGTAGAGCACGCGGTCCCAATATACCCCCAGTGAGAGACAGATAGATCAATATAGTTGCCCGCCTTTACTCGCCCAGCACGCAGGACCTTTCGCGCTCGCTCTCTCTTTCTCTTTCTCTCTTTCTCACGCTCACGTTTTCTTTTCAGAATTTCGTCGGGTCAACAAATTCCAGTCTGATCGTTGAGGGCTGACGATGAATGTGAGTAGAACCACTTCATCGCGAATTTGTTATGTCAATTTGATAAATGGAGATGGGGTGAATGAGAAAAATTAAGTTGGAGGTGTTCTCCTGGGGTGGATAGCGAAGGAAATGGGGTGGTAACGATGTTACGGGGTCGGAAATTATTTCAATCTTCTGGGAACAGTCATCCAAATGACATTTACTGGACAAATGTTAGGGGATTGGAGAATGGAGTGATGTCCGCTGGGTTGCGAAGTGCTAGGGCCGGATGGGACAACTGGACATTTAGTTCTTGATGGATGAAAGATGATGGGTGAAGATAAAATGAGGGAATTTTTTTTTAATAAGATGGAAGGAAGAGATACGGAAGAAGAAATTTTTTCAAGTTGTTGGAGTGCAGAAAATACAGATCAACTGAAGTCCAGTTTAAGTACTCCATAAATATCTTTGAATTGAAATTAATTCATTAGCTTCATTAACACATTATATTATACTAATTTATTTTATTGTTTTCTTTCCAATTTTTCTTTGCGGTTAGATTAAATTCAATTCATTGGATTCTACTCCCATTGTAGTATACAAATTGTGGAAATAGTTTTTCTCATTTTCAAATGAAGAGATATTTGTGATAAATAATAAGGACAGTATTGATACTTTTTGTTGGGATGATGATCAATTCGCCGGAAAATAAAAATTTCGATTTTTCAATGTCTCCGGAAAGTTTTAAAATTGATATATTTTTTCAAATAATGAAAGAATACCCATCAATTCAATTTCTATCCTCTCATTTTGATAGAATGCATAACAAAATTGCAAAGAATAAAAATCGGAGATAAAAAGTTTTATCGGATTAATATAATGTAATAATTAACCAATTAATTAATAAATTACTTGCTTAATTAATTCCTCGTGCGACAATTACGCGAAGAGATTTTTAACTTTTTTTTTATAGAAAAGGTTTTCACTCAATCGACAAAATTCAAAACATTGTAACGAAAGAGAATGAAGTCGAGCAGAGTCAATTGGAAGTTGATATTGATTTCATTTTGTTGATCCAAACAGAAAAGAGATTAAACGTATTATTTCTGCAGTTGAACATCCCCGGAAATCGGTTTGAAATTTCAATGGGGAGATCGACGAACGTGTGCATTGTACTCCCGCGTTTGAATTTGAATTGATAGGTACAATAGCCTGAAATTTCCATACCTCGATAACGGCGGAATAGTCATTAATGTCAACGCTTATACAAATTATTCCGGAATTCTTTGAATCGTTTTGACATAAACAAATGAATTAACCGCTCTTCTGAATTAAGGGGTGACTTCTATGAGTTGCAAGTCATAGAGAAATCTCTCAGATGATAAAGATTAATTAAATAGATGTATAAAAATTAAAAATGAGGTAAAAAACAATTGTTTATTATTGATAATTCAGTGTCCTCAATTTTTTTATTATTTAAATTGGCAATTCCGATTTTGTTTAAATAAAAAATTGCAAAAAATCGCGTCTGGGGGGTAAACGGACAATAAATAATTATTTTTTTTGATTCTTCAGCCTCGCCAACCCCCATAATCCTTATTTTAATCCTTGTGACCCTTAATCTGACCCTCATGAACCTCATTATACCCCTCGTGACCCTTAATCTGAGCCATATAACCCTTAATCTGACTCTTGTGACCCTTAATCTGACGGATATGACCCTTAATCTGACTCTTGTGGCCCTTAATCTGGCCCTTGTAACCCTTAATCAAGCCCTCACGACCCTCAATCTGATTCTCACGACCCTTAATCTGACCCTCACGACCCTTGCGACCCTTTGTCTTCTCTTCGCGGACCTTATTCTAACCCTCGTGACCCTTAATCTAACGGATATGACCTTTAATCTGACCCTTGTAAGCCTCAATCTGACCCTCACGACCCTTAATTTGACCCTCACGCCCCTTGATCTTATCGTGACCTTTATTTTGACCCTCGTAACCCTCATTTTACCCTTGTAAACGTTATTTTGACCCTCATGACTCATTCTGACCCGCATGACCCTTATTTTGACCCTCATGACCATTATTTTGATCCTCGTGATCCTTAATCGTGGAGTCTTAATTTCGAGTACCAAATTTTCATCACCAGAAGTCAATTTGGATTTTTACAATGTCGAGATGTATTTTTATCCTGTAGTCGATTTGTAAAGCAGTCCAATAGCCCCCCGAATTAAACCACCCAGTAACATCCCCTGAAAAACCCCGGAAAATGATAAAAATTTGTTATACCAGAGAAACGGTGTCAGAAGGACTTCGTGGTATGCAGTTATTGCATATTTCGCGGTGTCTCGAATCAAGTTGAAACAGACGAGAATGTCGCGGTGAATGTCAGACACTTGTTGCCCCCTCTGTCCCCCCCTCAAACTCAACAGGTTTTGAGGAATGACTAGCGTGTTGGTAAATCGTTATTGTGTCTCCCATTCTTTTTCCGGCCACTTGAATCATACACTTGAGCTCTAATTTCGTACCGCGGAATTAGAGTTGGGTGATAACGAGTGGATCAATATGTGAAGGGAAAATTGAGGGCGAGAGAGGGGGGGGGCGGTGGAGTGGAGTGATGGATGAAGATATCACTGCGGTGGATTGCGATGAACTATTTTTTTTTGGATCTCGTTGAGTGGAATTTTTTTAACGAGAAATACCGGATTGGGGGGTTTTCTATTTAATTACGAGTACCTGGAGTTGTTTAATTAATGAGGGGGGGGGGGAAGGGGGGG